AAAGAGGCGAGTTCATCAAGAAAACCTTCCCATCCTTCGGTCTCTAAGAAGAGACATCGACAACATTCTTCACCAATATCGGTGTCCTCGTCCTCTTCGTCCGCTTTGTCCTCGCCCACCCCCGCTCGCAAACGGGTACGGGTTGAAGCCCCTTCTTCCTCGCCTGTTCCTCGTTCGGGAACGGTAAGAACTTCGGCGAGTCTCTTGGCCCTCCTCGCGGCCCAACCTGGAAGGTGGGAGCTGGCTCCCAAGGGCGAAGAATGTGATCGCTGCCGGTGAGCAAATCAAACTTCTCAGAACGTAACAGATCCTAACTTCCAGTGACGAACAATCTCGTCACCCCGACTTCCCCTGTGTTCGTCCCTGTGGGACCAACCGCGGTACACGATGTGCATCGTGTACATCCGGTGTCTGTTCCTTCCTCCCCCCTTCCCCTGCTAAGCAGAGGAAACCCTCGACAACTTCCCGCCCGTCGCCCGTCGCTCGCCCGTCGCCCCCGCCAGCTGGTCGGTCGGTGTTCACGACAGCATCTCCTTCGCCGTCGGACGAACTTCCCGGTCTTCCTCCCCCTCTCCCTCCTTCGGTCTCTTTCCGCGCTGCTCGTCCTGGTGCTCCCTTATGGGAGTTATCTCCGTCCCCACCTCCTCGTGGTCCTCGTCCTCCTCGCGTCCCTCCCGTCGTCGACCTTCGTTCCCCGTCGCCGGTCGTCCCTGGGGCCTTCATCGTTCCTCCCCTTCCTTCGCCTCCTCGTCCGTCACCCGCGCCATCGTCCTCGTCGTCCTCGTCGTCCGAGGAAGTTCCTCCTCCTTCACAAGAGGAAATTATCGCGGACCTCAGAAAGCTAGTCGAAGTTCTCACCATGGACAATTTGAAAACAGAGAAACGGTTAGCAGCTATGACCATGGTGGCTCTTCGTGCGGCAGACATGATGGACGTACAAGGGGTCATCATTCGTCGTTTCCTCAATCAAATTCGTCTTTTAACCCGGAACTTATCGAAAAAGAGTTCTCATATCGGATCTGCCACTCATAGTTTGCTGCTCGAATGGAATGAAACTCTCCTTCGTACTGGCCGCCACGCTATCTTCGGCCATAAACTCTGGGGAGAGATCAATGATACCATCGGGCGAAAGGAGCGTGATCTGACTGGTGTTGCGGTTGCTGGGCCCAGCACTCAAGGACTGAGGGATGAAGTTCGTGCGGCTAGTGAGACGTTCTGGGATGCTAACTGGCGGATGAGAAACGTGATAAGAAATGATCCGTTGTTAGTGGTGGCCCGTGAAGAGCTTACTGATACTGAGGGAGCCCACTCATGGTGGGATGATAGTAGAAGACGGAGTCGTGGTAAAGGAAAAGGGAGAATGGTAATGGACGATATTGACATTCTTGTAGATGAAGAGAAAAATAAAACTTAGCGATTGTATAACTTCTTGTCCCATGTATCAGTCTTGCACAGTCCCTAAGTTTGTCGAGCACGAGCTCGACGAACTAAACTTTCCTTCGGTTTCTCAGGATATCGTTCGTGGAACTCGGTAAGAATTTCATCTGCACCATCAACGTTTTCCTTCGGTTCCCAAGAGACAGCATCATCAGTTCCCTCAAATCCCAGCCACTCTACTAAATACTCGACCCTCCCAGATCTCCTATTTATCCTAGAGTCTAAAATGTTCTTGACTTCCCACGACTCTCCTGCGTCATCAACTTCGACCGGATCAGGAAGTTCTGCCTCCTGCCCCACGAAGTTCGTTGGTTGGAACTTCCTTAACAACGACACATGAAACACATCATGCAACTTGGCCATCGAGGCTGGCAACTTCAACCTACACGCATGAGTACCAATGCGTTTAATAACTTCGTACGGCCCTGCTTGTTTAGCATCTAACTTCTTACTAGGTCTCTTAGTTCTAATATTCTCAAGGGATAACATTACTTTGCTTCCAACTTCGAAAATTGGTGTTGCTGAGCGCCTTCGGTCATACGCTTCGGAGTATCTCTCATTGGCTAGTCTAATGCCCTCAACACATCGTTTGTGTACCTCCTGTAGATCAGTAACAACTGCTCGAGCAACAGGAACTTCTACTTCAGATTCCTTAATCTCGTCTGTCCATCGTGGGTGGTACCCGAAATTCGCGAAGAACGGGCTCATCCCGATGGCCGAGTGAATCGTGTTATTATACGCGAAGCTAGCCTTTGGCAATAACTTCGCCCAATCGTCCTGCTGATAAGAGGCGAATACTCGTAGATACATTTCCAAAGCTTGATTTGTTCGTTCAGTCTGCCCATCAGTCTGTGGATGATACGCAGTGGAGAGATTTAGTCTTATACCAAGACTAGCAGTGAGATCTTTCCAGAACTTCGATGTAAACTTTGCTCCTCTATCTGAAACTATACCTTCTGGTAATCCATGTTGAGCCACCACATGTTCGATGACCAAATCAGCTAGCCCCCCTGCTGTGAGGTTCGTTGTCGTTGGTAGGAACATCGCCCACTTCGTCAACCGGTCAACAATAACCAAAATCGAGTTGAAACCATCTGAAAATAGGGATGAGACGGACGCACGCGAAGC